TTATTTAATATTTAATATAATACAGAAAACAGTACTTGGAATGTTCAGTTATTAATTTAGAAGTAATTAATTGATGTAATGGTTTAATGACTGTTATATTGGCTATTTGATGTGAGATGTTTGTTATAATCATGCTATGACTTAAATTGTATATATTGTGATGTGTGTTAATGATCTCAGTATGTACATGTATTTAGTATTGCTATATTTGTTTGTTTCAGGGCTTGATCTACTTATTGATCTACTTATTGATCTACTTATTGATCTACTTATTGATCTACATATTAATCTTCATATTGATCTTCATATTGATATCTACATTTGATACTGATTATATATTGATTGGTGCTTAAACAAGTGCTTGATGTGAAGATGTGATGTGACTTTAACCTCTTGGGTTAAATCTACTGGAAGCTTTATATTAATATAGTAATATACTGAGATCATACAATGAATGGACATTTCAATTAAAAGTATTGAACGAACTCAGCCTCGTTGATATTTATTCCTTTACATCTTTAAGGGCATAATTTTAACAAAGGTAACATTTGGCGCCCAACGGTATTTTCATTGATCTCAGTGTTTTTTTTTTTAACTTTAAGTGAATTTCCAGTATATTGACTGCAGAACTTTATTATTTACAGTTTAAGTAACTGTGTTCAAATTATTTTAACACTTTAAGGTTATATTTAAAGTGAAATTTTGCATTTAATGCACAGTGACATAGTTTATTATAAGGTTTGCATTTTGTGCATAGTGATAATACGTACTTAATTTTTAAGTATTGAACTTCAGTGGCATATACGTATTCATTTGAATTTGGATTTTACGAGGCAGATACACATATTCAGGACATTACTGTGCAACTCATCATTTCGTTATATGCGTTACACAGGAATTTTTATCGTTTATTTGGAGAATTAGTGATATTTTCACTAATACGCTTGCTGGACGGAACACCAACTGGGAGAATTAGTGAACTTGTCACTAATACACTTGCTTGACGGAGTACCGAACTGGGAGATCTTCATATCCATAACCGACAACACGATATAGGCTTTTCTTCGAATCCAGGATCGACGACACCAACAACGTTTACAGGAGCAGGGACATAAACTTTTAAGTTAAACGCGAAGTGATTATAGTGATAGACTGACAGTGTTAGTTTAGTGTTACATATTACAGACACTTTTTTTATAAGTGCTGATTCAGGACAGTTCTGTTAATTTCTACATGATTGAACAGAAAAATTGTATGGTACATGTAACAGTCCAGTGGTCAAGTGCAGATCAACTGATGTGTGAGTAAGAAATAAAATTAAATATTAAGGAATTGCAGTTTATTACTTAAAAGAAATATTTTTTGTAATATTTAGCAACTTTTCCTTTAATTTCTAAGTAATTACATAGATAATTATATAGTTTTGAATATTTTTATTTATTTAAAAAAAACAATAGACAACTGCAATTTCTAATATTCAGTGTGATACATTGTAAAGAGTGAAAGAAAAGTCACTTCACATAATTAATTAATTTCCCAACCCGGTGAAGGTTCTTTTACTAATAACTCTAAATTATAATTAGCATCTATCTTCAATAATTATCCCTGTCAAATATGTTGCCATTCTAGTGTATTTAAAAATAAAAAACAGGTAAATTTTAATTTCAGTTCAGAAAGTCTACTTTCTGCTGTTCATTTGTTTATATACACAGCTCAGGTGTGACCTACTTTTGTATTGACATTTTCAGTTTATGGTTCTACTTTTCTAGTTGTATTTGGATTTCCTGGCATATTTTGCTTTGTTTACATTGAATCTAACCTACTCAAGGTCAGTTTCAATTCTGATGTGTATTGTGTAGTCTGGGTAGTTTGTTTTGATAGTGTGGTATTTACACAATCAGCTGTTCCATTGATAAACCTGTGTGTAATGGATCTGGGATATTTGACCTCACAGGGCAGTGCTTGTGAACTTTGAACATGTGACTGACCATGTGACAACCACCTGACTTCTATATTTGGTAACATTTCATGGAATTTAGCATTGTGGGAAGCATTTACAGGTCATTTGATAGATATATTTAGTAACAATAGGTTAAATGGGTATTTAGAAACTATATAATTTGCATATAGGTCATTTGGGGTGAAATATTGTAGTATTATTGTAAAAACAGTTTGAAAGTTTTGGTTTATTGATTTAATTTATCATTTAATGGTAATTATTTAAAATAATTGATTTAATATAAAGCTACATTGGGGAATTATAATTTTGATTTCAGGAATATTGATTTTGATTAATATTAGGTTTATTTAAAGCAAGTTGACACTTAGGATAAATTGAATAGAAATTTGAAATAGATAATTTCTGCTTTTATTTCAGGTGCTGACTATTAATAAAATAAAAAGACAAAATTAAACCGTAATATAAATAAGACTTGCATTGTTGTCTTATGTAATTATTTACAGATTTAAAAATTATTTTGTGTCAAATTTGTTGAATTGTTCACAAATTCTTGATTTTGAAGAGTGATTGGTTTAGATTGGTACCACTACCACACCATACATGCATAAAGTCTAAAGGCTTATAAGCATTATAGTATTACTACACTTGGAATTTAGAAAGTATTTACTGAGTATACATTGATTTTGATTGAAATTGATAGAAACTTATTGATATTTTATTGAAATTGATAGAAAATATTGATTGATGTCCTTATACACTTGGTGATAGTATACACTTGGAAATCAGAAAGCCAGATTGGTTTATCAGCATACTGTACTTAAGTATAAGCAATATAGATTAAATTTTTTGGAAATAATTCAGTTTTATTATGCTCCCCGAAAAAATTTCGGGGGAGCATATAGTCGCCGCCTTGTCCGTCCGTCCGTCCGGCCGTCCGTCCGTCCGTCCGTCCGTCCCCTTTTCTTGTCCGGGACATAACTTTGAAACAACAAGAGGTATCAACATGAAACTTTGTAGGTTGATAGATCTCATTGAGTAGGTGTGCAGTGCACAAGAACCGTAACTCTGCCTTGCCTAATTTTTGAATTATTCCCCTTTGTTTATTTTTACACTTTGAACTTTGTCCGGGACATAACTCTAAAAGTATAAGAGGTATCAACATGAAACTTTGTAGGTAGATAGATCTCATTGAGTAGAAGTGCAGTGCACAAGAACCGTAACTCTGCCTTGCCTAATTTTTGAATTATCCCCCTTTGTTTATTTTACACTTTGAACTTTGTCCGGGACATAACTCTAAAAGAATAAGAGGTATCAACATGAAACTTTGTAGGTAGATAGATCTCATTGAGTAGGTGTGCAGTGCACAAGAACCGTAACTCTGTCTTGCCTAATTTTTGAATTACCCCCCTTTGTTTATTTTACACTTTGAAATTTGTCCGGGACATAACTCTAAAAGTATAAGAGGTATCAACATGAAACTTTGTAGGTAGATAGATCTCATTGAGTAGAAGTGCAGTGCACAAGAACCGTAACTCTGCCTTGCCTAATTTTTGAATTATCCCCCTTTGTTTATTTTACACTTTGAACTTTGTCCGGGACATAACTCTAAAAGTATAAGAGGTATCAACATGAAACTTTGTAGGTAGATAGATCTCATTGAGTAGGTGTGCAGTGCACAAGAACTGTAACTCTGCCTTGCCTAATTTTTGAATTATCCCCTTTGTTTATTTTACACTTTGAAATTTGTCCGGGACATAACTCTAAAAGTATAAGAGGTATCAACATGAAACTTTGTAGGTAGATAGTTCTCATTGAGTAGGTATGCAGTGCACAAGAACCGTAACTCTGCCTTGTCTAATTTTTGAATTATCCCCCTTTGTTTATTTTACACTTTGAACTTTGTCCGGGACATAACTCTAAAAGTATAACAGGTATCAACATGAAACTTTGTAGGTATATAGATCTCATTGAGTAGGTGTGCAGTGAACAAGAACCTTGACTCTGCCTTGCCTAATTTTTGAATTATCCCCCTTTGTTTATTTTTTACACTTTGAACTTTGTCCGGGACATATTTCTTAATGTATAAGAGATATCAACATGAAACTTTGTAGGTAGATAGATCTCATTGAGTAAGTTTGCAGTGCACAAGAACTGTAACACTGTCTTGCCTTCTTTTGTAGTTATTGCCTTTGTTCATTTTGACACTTTGAACTTTGTCTGGGACATTATTCTAAAATTATAAGAGATATCAACATGAAACTTTGTAGATAGATAGGTCTCATTGGGTGGAAGTGCAGTGCTTAAGAATCATTACTCTGCCTTGCCTTATTTTGAAGTAATTGCCCTTTGTTTATTTTTACTTTTTGACTTTTGTCCTGGACATTACTTTAAAACTATTAGAGATATCAACATGAAACTTTGTAGGTAGCTAGATATAATTGGATAGAACTGCAACGCTTCAAGAACCTAAACAAAGCCTGGTGTAATTTTGGAGTTATTGCCCTTTGTTCATTTTTATTATACTTTCCTGTGTCCAGAACCTTCTCGGGGAGCATCACCCGGTTCAACCGGTTCTTGTTGTTAAACTGTTTATATTTGCTTTAAATTTATTCATTTATTTACTTATTGAAGTGATAGTTTATTATTTCTACAGTCTTATAGGCTTATCAACAGCTTGTTGATTACTTCATTTGAATATTTTAGCAAGATTCTTGCATTTTACAGGTGAAATACTTTAAAACATAACATATATATATACAGTATATTTTGCTATTTTACAAAATATATTGATAATTGATTATCATTCTGATAATTTATTATCATTCGGGTACTTTATATATTTAACAGTGTAATATTGTGCAATTTCAGGGAAAGATTACTGATTATTTTTATAGAATATGCTGATTAAATTTTGAAAAGGGTTACTTTATAAAAGAAATTCTTTTCTTGGTGAGCAGAATATTACTGATAATAATCTATTTGAATTTTCAGTCTTTTGCATTAGCTTTATTTATATTGTTGAAATTAAATTGATTTTAAAATGGATGAGAAAAAAGGAGCAGAGGGAGGAGAAGAAAAAGCTACAAAATCTACCGAGGATATGGAATCCGTAGATCTAACAGAGGAAGATGTTAATTTGATAGAAGCTTTTCATGAACTCAAACTTAGACCGGAACTTGGAGGTGCGGAGGATTTGGTGAAATTTTTGAAACGATTTAATAAACGGGAAGATGAAAAGGATGCAGATAAATTAAAACCGACGAAAGCACATACAAAACCATCATCAAGTCTTGAATTTCCAACACTTACAACATCCAGTACAAAGATAAAAACAGAAGATGCTTCGGACTATACAAGTTTGACTGGTACTTTACCATCAACCACAGCATCAGCTTCACCTATAAGACTTACAGGATCATATCACTTCCCAAAGTTATCTAACTTCTATGGAGAGGAAAACAAAGGAGATGTAACATATGAAGCATTCAAGTTTGAGGTACAGTCTTTACTGAGTGAAAAAGTTTTTACAGAGGCACAAGTATTATTAGGTATGAGGAGAGCATTGAGAGGTACAGCAAGCGACATTGTTAGACGACTTGGTACAGGTGTTACAGTAGCGGAAATTTTAAAGAAACTGGATAGTACTTATGGAAATATAGAGAGCCAGGAGACAGTTATGAAAAAGTTCTATTCATGTACTCAAGGTACAGACAGCATCAACACCTATGCAGCGAAATTGGAGGAATTGTATTCTCAAGCAATTGATTTAGGAGCTATAAATAGACGAGAAGAGTTATTAAAGCAAGTGCTTTATCAAGGTTTGAGAATCGACTTGAAACACATTGCCCAATACAAGTTTGCAACAATACCGGACTATGACGCATTTAAGATAGAGTTACGGAAGATGGAGGCAGAGATGAAGACAGATGTAAAAACCAAGACATGTCACACAGCACAAAAGATGGACAAAGAGGAAAATACTGAAATGAAGGAACTCAGATCAATGCTTCAGCAACTGAATGAGAAATTTGATAACCTTCAGAAAGAAAAGGACATGAAAGAAGAACAAAGAACAACATATGGATTTGGAAGTAGACCTTACAGAAGAGGATATTTTAACAGAGGAAACTTCACAGGAAGAGGTAGAGGTAGGTATATACCATCAAGACCACTCGCATCAACAACATTCCAAGGAACATGTTATCGTTGTAATCGAAGAGGTCATCTAGCTAGAAATTGCAGAACCGACTTGAAAGATTTAGATAAACAAGACAAGGTAACAAAGAAGGATTTAAACGAGTGAGTGCTGCAGTTGTTGGATCGAACTATAGCACAACTGTTAAGAAAGATCCTAAATTATTTGGAGATACAAACGAGGCTAACATCAGTATCAATGGTCACAATACTTCTTCTCTTTTAGATACAGGAAGCAGTTGCAGCTTAATTGCGGAATCATTTTATAGGAATAACTTGTCAGATATTGAATTACAGCCACTCACAGAGATTATTCATATTGAATGTGCTGACGGATCAACACTTCCATATTTAGGATACATTCAAGCAGATATCAGTATACCGAATGGAATTCCAGAGTCCAAGAATCACACTTGTTTATTTTTGATTGTACCGGATACTAATTATTCAGCTAGAACACCAGTCATTTTAGGAACCAACATTTTAGACATACTTCTAAAGGAATGTAAGGACAATTTTGGAGACCAATTTTTACAGAGAAGCAAACTTTATATACCATGGTATTTGTGTTTCAGAACCATTGAGCTTAGAAAGAGAAAACTGCAACACAATAAAAACAGAATCGCCATTGTAAGAAGTGCCGCACCCTATAAAGTATTGATAAGGCCAAATGAGACCATCACCATTGATGTTTATACTGATAAAGAGATATATCATCCCGTGACAAATGCCATTTTTCAGGAAACTGAGGATGCTTCTATACCAGAATTCATAGATGTCACACCAGCATTAGTCAAGTATGAATATGGGAATAACCATTGTATGAAGATAACCTTATCGAATCTTACAACCAACACGGCTACAATTTCACCTAAAGAGATGATTTGCGAATTACAACCAGTTAACATCACAGATGAAGCATTACACAAATTGGAAGGTGAAGAGTTAGACAGAGCAAGAGCCAGAATAGTATTAGAATTGAATCTGGACAACAACTCGTTGACAGAGGAACAAAGAACAAGACTACAACAACTTTTAATGAAACATAGGGATATATTTTCAACTTCCGACATAGACATAGGACAGTGTAACAGGGTTAAACATAGAATTGATCTATTAGACTCTACACCATTCAAGCAACGACATAGAAGGATTCCACCATCAATGATAAATGAAGTAAGACAACATCTAGAACAACTATTGGCGTGTGGTATTATAAGACCTTCAAAATCACCCTTTGCTTCAAATATTGTACTAGTTAGGAAGAAATCTGGAAAGTTAAGGCTATGTGTTGACTACAGGATGCTCAATGAAAGAACCATTAAAGACTCCTATGCATTGCCCAGAATAGAAGAGATCTTTGATTGTCTACATGGAGCCAAATATTTTTCAACCATCGACATGAAATCAGGATATCATCAGATAGAAGTGGAAGAAGGACATAAAGAAAGAACATGCTTTACAGTAGGACCATTAGGATTGTGGGAATTCAACAAAATGCCGTTCGGAATTAACTAACGTCCCAGCAACTTATCAACGCTTAATGGAGGAATGTCTTGGAGACCTCAACCTGAAAATCTGTGTTATCTATTAAGACGATTTAATCATCTTCAGCGACTCTTATGAACAACATCTTGAAAGATTGGATATTATACTCACCCGCCTGAAGTCATGTAACCTGAAACTAGCTTCCGAAAAATGTGAATTCTTCAAACAACGAGTCAAATTTCTAGGTCATGTCGTGAGCAGTGAAGGCATAGAAACAGATCCAGACAAAATCCAGAAAGTACGTGATTGGCCAACACCGAACAATTCAGATGAGCTACATTCTTTCCTTTCATTTGCCAGCTATTACAGAAGATTCATTGAAGGATTCAGCAAAATCACCAGACCACTAGCAGAACTTATACCCCACAACACTTCAAAGAGAGGATGCAAGAAAAAGGCAACTAAACCATGGAATTGGACAAAGAGAGAGCAAGACATATTTGAAGAGCTCAAGATAACCTTATCATCCCCACCTATATTGGCATATCCGGATTTCTCCAAACCCTTTGAGCTACATACGGATGCCTCGACAATAGGACTTGGCGCGATACTATACCAACAACAAGGAGAACATAAAAGAGTTATTTCATATGCTTCAAGATCACTTTCGAAATCGGAAAAGAATTACTCAGCTTATAAACTAGAATTTTTGGCATTAAAATGGGCAGTAACTGAGAAATTTAAAGATTATTTGACTGGAAATCATTTCACCATATATACAGACAACAATCCTTTGACTTATGTGCTGACTTCAGCTAAATTGGATGCAACCGGTCAAAGATGGGCAGCAGCGCTTGGAGAATTTGACTTCGAGATACACTATCGACCTGGAATGAAAAATACAGATGCTGACGCCATGAGCAGATATCCTACCGATACAACCATTCAAGATCAGGAAGAAAGAACAACCATAGATAACAGCATGGTGAGAGCAATATGTGGTGTAGTAAGTATTCCATATGCAGAGACTCAAACAATGAATGTCAACATCATAGATGCAACAGAAGACCCCAGTCAACCAATGGCCCAGATTGAGATGAGAGAGATAAGAAAGAAGCAAAGAGAAGATCCTTTACTAGACAGATGGAGGATAGCAGTGATAGATAAGACCATTCCAGATAAATGTTTTGATAAGAAAGACCAGATTATGAAGAAGAATTTTAACCACTTAAAGATCAAAAGAGGAATCCTATTTAGAGAAACAACTGAAGATGACAACAAGAAAGAGCAACTATGCATACCAGATGTTTATAAAGAAGAAATTTTACACGGATTACATACAGATGTAGGACATCCAGGAAAAGAAAGAACCAGAAGATTGGTCCAAGAAAGATTTTACTGGCCTGGAATGACAACAGATATTGATAATTTTGTTTCAAAATGTGACAGATGCCTGAGAAGAAAGAGTCAAACCAACACAAGAGCTCCACTTGTTAATGTTCATACAACCTATCCACTGGAATTAGTTTGCTTTGACTATCTGACACTGGAATCATCAAAAGGAGGATATGGAAACATACTTGTCATAACGGATCATTTTACTAAATTCGCATTAGCTATTCCAACTAAGAATCAGACTGCCAAAACTACTGCCGAAACTTTCTACAATCACTTCATCATTCATTACGGAATTCCAACAAGACTACATTCAGATCAAGGAGCTAACTTTGAATCTCAACTTATCAAAGAACTTTGTGAAATCACCAACATTAAGAAATCTCATACTTCAATTTACCACCCGCAAGGTAATTCCGGACCAGAGCGATTCAATAGAACGCTTTTGGATATGCTAGGGACTCTCGAAAACTCACAGAAAAGCGATTGGAAGAAGTACATCAACTCACTAGTATTTGCATACAACTGTACTCCACATGAGACAACCAAAGTATCACCATATGAGCTTATGTTCGGCAGGAAACCAAAACTTCCCATTGATATAACTTTTGAACAAGCCAAAGAAGATACAATAATCAAGAAAACAACTCAGGAATATATAGAAGATTTAAAAGAAAGAATGAATAGAAGTAAGGAGATTGTACAGAAACACATGGATTTGGCAAAAGCGAAACAGAAGAAATACTATGATAGGAAAGTTAGAGGTGCAAAGATTGAGATAGGAGATTTTGTTTTAGTGAAGATTTTGGCTCATAAAGAAGGAAAACACAAGTTAGCTGACAAGTTCGAAGAAGACATTTATAAAGTCATTGATCAACCAAGAAAAGACATTCCAGTGTATTTAGTCAAATCAAACAACGGCAAAGAACGCACACTACACAGAAATCATCTATTCCTAGTTGAATACCAAGAAGAAGCAAATGAGAACATAGAAGAGGTGAATGAGACAGAAAACAGAGAATCTGCAGAGGAGAAAGATAGAGATAAAGGGGATGCATCCGGAAAGAAAACATGTGACGTCACAGACTCAGAAGATTCAGATGATGAAATTGATGATATATTTGTTTCACAAACAAAAATAGATGGGGACGCCTATCAGTCAAGATGTAATCATACTGAAAGTGAGAAAGAATCTGAAGTAGATACAGAAGTACCTTTCATTGATATAAATGTTGAAGATACAAGCATAATCAAAGACAGCGTACAAGTAATAGAAGAACCTGCAGTAGTTACTGAACCAAACGATTCTAAAGAAGCAGAATCACTGGTTGAAGAAGAGAAAATAGAGGAGGAGAGAGATGTTCAAACTGACCATCTAGAACAACTTCACCTAATAGAAGAAGATTCAGATATAACCTGTAGTGTAGAGACAGAAGATGAAACCAACATTCAAGAACGTTTAACTGAAAGTAGGACAGATGAAACTATGACAGAAGAAGATACAAGTAGAGAAGATAGAACATTACAAGACATAGACAGAGAGACAGTAAAGAAGCAGGAGACAGAAGGAATTGGAGTGAAGAAACGAAAGCGACAGTTACCACCAGAACCGACTAGAAAATCAGAGAGAACGAAGAGAGTACCAGACAAATACAAAGACTATCATATGCATAGCATTATTAACACTAGACCACAGTATGATCACAGATTACAAGCATTGGAATCTATGATTGCTTCAGGTGTGTTGAAGAATATAGAAATAGACACTGCAAGGAAAATTGTTGATGCTATAATGAAATAAATGCTATATTGAATTGATATTGAATTGAAAATTGTACTTTACTGTACCAATAAATACAAATTTGAGATAATTAAATGTGTTTTAATATGTTTTTAATATTGATTTATTGCGAGGACGCATATGTTCCAAAGAAGGGGCGAGAAGAGAGAAGTTGAGCATATTTTTTGCAGGAAATATGATTATTGATCATAATTCGCGACATGACGCATATGTTTTTTTCGCAATAAGTATGATTATTTTGTTGCTTTGAAATTGTTTTTTCGCGACGTTATATGCTAGCACGTTGATCGCGATATTTGCGAGAGAAAGTTATGTCGTTTTGAGACACTATGCAAACATACTGATTTTATATGCTTTAAATTAAAACCATTTTTTTGTATTGAAATGTATATTGTTTAAAAATACAGCATTGTATTTTTGATGCTGTTACAATGATATGATGTATAGTTATTTTATGGAAAGACAAACATTTTGTTCTTAATTGTAGGATAACCTTTATAAAGGGGAATGTTTGCTTCCATGAAATGTTGCTAAATATATTTTAACTGACAGACTATTTGACATTACTATTTGACATGACAATGACATTTGACATGACAATGACGGGACGTCATTTTCTCAAAGCAGGGAAGTGTGTAACCAAAGGGAAATAATCAGTTGTAGTTTATTGATTGAAATCTGTAGGAGTGATTTCCCTTGGCTGTTTTATTAGTTAATCATGCGTGTAATTGTTCCCGCCGTTTTCTGAGTTGTCATCAGTTTTTGGTAGAAGGCAGACATGTTTTTCAGTTGTTTAAAATAATAATTTGGTTATTAATTCTTAAATAGGATTTTGGATTTTGGATTGAGGTTGGTGAAGTTTAATATTGGTTGCTTACTTTGTTTAAGTGAGTTACAAATGAGCTGTGTGTCTAAAGTTTATTAAAATAAGATATTCATGTATATTGTACATGATTTGTTTACAATGCATCTGATAATGGCAGCATATTTAAAGTAATATCTATTTGCAGTAATTAATATAAATCACTGTCATTCTCTATTGTGCACATGTTTAATTACAGTATGTTGCAGTAACATCACAAGATTGAGAGGATTTTTGTATGAGTGTCATTGAGTCCAATCCACAATTGGTATGTATAATTGTACAAGTCATATTATTGTTTTACTATTTTATAAGTTTACTATATTCATTTAATAGACCACTGGATTGAATTATTTAATATTTAATATAATACAGAAAACAGTACTTGGAATGTTCAGTCATTAATTTAGAAGTAATTAATTGATGTAATGGTTTAATGACTGTTATATTGGCTATTTGATGTGAGATGTTTGTTATAATCATGCTATGACTTAAATTGTATATATTGTGATGTGTGTTAATGATCTCAGTATGTACATGTATTTAGTATTGCTATATTTGTTTGTTTCAGGGCTTGATCTACTTATTGATCTACTTATTGATCTACATATTAATCTTCATATTGATCTTCATATTGATATCTACATTTGATACTGATTATATATTGATTGGTGCTTAAACAAGTGCTTGATGTGAAGATGTGATGTAACTTTAACCTCTTGGGTTAAATCTACTGGAAGCTTTATATTAATATAGTAATATACTGAGATCATACAATGAATGGACATTTCAATTAAAAGTATTGAACGAACTCAGCCTCGTTGATATTTATTCCTTTACATCTTTAAGGGCATAATTTTAACAAAGGTAACACGTTGACTTTCTACCTTTGTGCCTCTGGACCAAAAACAACGCATACAGATAAAAAAAATAACTTGACTCATAGTTGGTTCGTTGCGAGAACTACATGTACTGTAAAAATCAAACTAAAATACTTACGTTTAAACTGAACTTTATGTCAGATACATTTAATATTTAATAAATTTTATCAACAAACACATATTATTTAATGAATTTTTATCACCAAAGGGAGCTACTTCCCTTATCAACGTAGCAGCAGCTGTGTACAATTTTATACAATGCTTATTACATTACCTTATCGAAGTGTAAAGTAAACTTTCTCAATATATAATTCTTTTTCAGTTACACCAAATAAACCTCTATAAAATTTCTATGCATTTAAGCAGGAATGTAAAAACAAAATTCAGAAGAAAAAAAAAACAACCTAAAACGTCTAAAACAGCAATGAAAATATTGCAAGCTCGGTTTGATCGAGTCTGTGAATTCATGGACGGTAGCTGCCATCAACGACCCCTTGCTAGCAGTATCCAACATCCAAACTTATGATAGTTAAATTTTTTTAATTAGAAACATCAACAGAACTTTGTATTCATACGGCGTTAATAATGGAACTTTCAATGTGACATATTGAGGCCCATCCATGAAAAGTGGCGTTTGATCCTCAAGTAAAAGTAAGCTTGTGCACTAAACGAGAAAACAATGGGGTAAACTATATAGAATTGAATTTTGAAAGGGGATCAAAGATTATGAAGCCTGTATACCACAGAAAATCTGTCAAAAAACAACTTTAAAAGGAGAAATATCCTGAGAGTGAATACAAGCAGCATACTGAAACCAAACAACTACAAAAAAACACATGTGTACTTTATTTATTTTTAAAGGCCACATATTCTTGAAAGGTATCTTTTGCTTCGAGCCAAGTCTGGCCTCTTTCAGAAATATATCATAATATCAAGTTCAAAGTCTTGCAATAAAATCTCTGAAAACCTGACCATCAGAAAACCGGAATCCTCGACACCGGGCGATTTAAAAATCTCTTTTTTTAATGTTCTGCTTTATAAAAGCAGGTGTGAAAAACACTTGTCAGTGTATGCTATTTTCTTATTGGCAATTAATTCATAGCTCTTTTATCATAATTGTTTTTTTTCTTCAAAATATTGAAATGTGTTGTGTTTTTATACACATGTATATATAAAATGCGGAAAAGAATTTGGAAATTTGTTAATGAAAGAGATTGTTGTTCCTGTTTGACTTAAAAAAATGATATGGACTTACTTTTATTTGGGCATTAACTTTATGTAATAATAATAATAATGATAATAATAATAATAAATTCCATTAATTATATATTTCAAAATCACCCCAAAAAGTTAAATTTCAAATAATGACTGTGTTGTTTTAATTTCCTAATTTTCTTAATTATCTACATGTATATGAATTTGCAAAAGACATTTATTGCAAAAAGAAATTATAATATAAAAGAGCTGAAAAGTAAATACCAAAGGAATTAAACACAGCCAATGTTCAAGCAATTGTCATTATATATGGTTACATAGAAAGCATATATTGTCCAACAGAAATCTACAAAAAGGTCTAAAAGGTTTGAAAAGAACGGACTGTTTACCCGCACAGTCATTTATAGCTTGAATGCACGCTTTTCAGTTTCGAAAATCACAAGCATTGAAGATTGTTAAATTTTGTGCTTGCCTTCCTTTTCCTTACAACCAAACCTTATCCCATTGGTTCCTGTGTCAGCCCTTTTAGTTCTTATCATTTCACTTATTCACATCGACACAATTTGAGGTTTTTAGGTGAACGCATGTTAATACAGAACATCTGATCAAAACAACTGACTTTGACAATGTTTGCTAAACCTCATTTAGAAATAATATCCATTCATGAATGCATGATTCAAAGCTGTTGTTTTAAACATGGCAATACGAAAATTAAACAGCTTATAATATCACCATATCAATATAAAATTTGAGATACATGTATGCATTGTAACTAGAGCTGTCGGAGAAGACGGCGCGCTCGTCTTATTAAATACTCGACACAGTAAGAAAGACAAAACTATGAAAAAATCAATCGTATATATTTTTGTATCAGTAAAAAGGAAGCATTTATATCAAGTTAAATGTTTAACATATTTGCACCACATAATGTACATGTGAACATGCTAATGAAAGTTAAACAGCCATTTCTATGCTATAATGTACACACAACAATTTGAAATCTGAAATCAATTCATTCAGTACAAATATGATAAGATCAAAATGTATAGTGAAAGCATACTGGTCAATCACATTTATCACTGCGATTAAATACTAGTATGCTACAGACATTTCTCGAGAACGTATAAGAAATAAATTAAAAAGTACAGGCTGGAAATGTTTATAAGATATCGTTTAAAATTGACAGAAGGTAACCTATATATTTTCAAATCAAAAAATGAAATGCACAGTACAGTTATTTTTTTTGTGTTTCGCAAATCTAAAGCAGGAATTAAAGACATCTATGCAATCCATATACATGTAGATGGTAAATTGAATCTTTGTTGTTTGTCATTTGCGATAAACAGATGAAAATGGCACCATTTGATGGATGAAATTCAAAACTTTCGGCTCCATTCGCATTTCTTTCTGGAAATACCACAAGAGCGATATATTTATTATGGGTATATTAAAGGTAAATAAGAGCTAAATTTGTCTTTTATACAAACAATGTTACCTATGTTTATGATTGATCACCTGATTTATTAATTAATTGATTTATCTTTGCACTTAATTCGGTGACAGAGTCCCCGTTTAATTCTTAGCACCTACGCAACATATGTGACGATAACGTCACGATTTTAAGCAGAAAATAAATTACCCTGTTTATGAACATTTCCGGTTCCTGTTATTTGTAGATTGGATTTTTAATAAATATCAGGAAAGAAAAGGGCAATTACAGCGTCATTAAAACGGTTTTTATGCATTCGCAATAAATAACTGTAAATTGCCAACCAGTTTCCAATAATGGGTGATCGTTACAATATCCACAGTCAGCTGGAACATCTACAGTCGAAGTACATAGGCACCGGTCATGCCGATACCAGCAAATGGGAATGGCTAACTAATCAACACAGGGACAGTTCGGCCTCTTACATGGGACATTTTGATATGCTTAATTATTTCGCCATAGCAGAAAACGAAACAAAAGCTAGAGTTCGATTTAACCTGTTGGAAAGAATGGTTCAACCATGCGGCCCACCACCAGAAAGACCAGAAGATTAAAATTTCAAATAACATTTATTTTTGACTTTTTTATTACAAGCAGAAATATAGAACAACACTGATTACGAAGTATTTGATGATGTCTCTTCCTAAGAATATTCATTGATGTTTTAAAAACGAAGTATGTGATTGTGAATGGATAATTTACCTAAACACCAATCACTCTGAATCAGACCTGATCATGCAATTAATAATTATAAATTAGTGAGTCAACTTGAAAGACGGGATGTGAAACTCAAATGTGTAATAATTATAATTGCAGTGTAAAATGAATCAAACATACATTTGATGATTGGTAGACACTCGCAGTAGAACTGAACATTGTGTACTTTTTTTTTGTACTCAAAATGTCAATTTAATTTTATGTGAATAGTTTTATTGTTTAAGAAAACAATTTCGAAGAAGTAATTGGGCGTTGACATTTAAAATATTTGTCTTTAAAGTCAATGCTTTATAAATAAAGAAATCATATTCTTAATAGGATAAAGTTTTAATTTGAAATTCTGACATATATAGAATTTCATCAGGACATCATATAGCTGCACAACTATTAACATCACATTTTCAATTATTGATTCATTTCATAATTCATCACTGACTTGTTTGATATGACATGCTGACTTTCCTTTGTTTAATTAAAGATATTGATATGACTATGTCGAACCTGTATGCTGTTTTTTCTTTATTCATTAAACCCTGTTAGTATTTTAAATTTATGCTTTAGGTGCTTGGCTTACATATACAATGTATCTCATAATGGTGACATCATTCACATCAAAATTGACACCAACATTGAATGATTACGTCTTTTGTGCAGTGTTCTCTGTTTATTGTATGTTGTGTGGTCTTAAGTTTAAACCAATTAGTAAACTTTAAAAAATTTAGTTAAAAAATGTAAATTTCTCAATTTCTTGTTCAAGTTGCTTCAAGATTATCGATGCTAGGTGCTATTGAAAATTGAAAAAGATGATATAGGAGTAAATGAAAGTGCATATGAAAGAGGAAACACCCACAAGGAAAATACAGGATGATGACTGTGATAAGGTGTCTAAATTGTACAATCTTCTTTTAGATAGAAATCTTTGCTTTACATATTGTTTGCAGAAAATTTATGGCAAGACTTGTCCTTGAAAATGCAAGATTGACCTTATAAAGTCCTTGAGAAGTGCTTAAATTGCATACAATTTTGTTTGAACCCTGTTTAACCAGTGTTTGTGTATAGCATGATTCTGTCACACAGCCAAAATATAGAGAAAAAAACTTGTTTACACTACTGTTTTGGTCCAAATATCCTTAAAAATTGGTAAGAAAGGTTGTTTAGATGATTTCTTGGTCAAGTTCAAAATATGGGTCAAAAACAGGGTCACACAACCCAAATATGGAAAACCTTGTTAACACTATAAATATAATATTTTAAGCCCAAATACCTTGGAAATTTTATCAACAACTTCACACTGCAGGGCTGCCGATTTTCCGCGGAAATCCGCGGATTTCGTGAGCTCCTGGGTCATTTTTGAGATCGATGTAAATTCGACAAAGACAATAAATTCATTCTTCATATTTTATACAGTACCCAAAAACCGGCACGCTTCGGCTTTTATCGTTACGCTAGCCGCCTATGGTACGTCTGTAAGCGCTTTTCTCATTGGTCATATCGAGTCTTTTCCGGTATTCTATTTTAGAATAACCAATCAAATTACAGTTTACATTGTCGCTCTTGTCTGTTGTCAAAATGTCGGATATTTGTCAAATTTAGAGTCCAGGAAATTGATTTTAGGGCATACCAAATCATCAGAATCCAGGAGCTTCTGGGGGCTTTGCCCCCTGGTCCCCCACCAGGGCTCTGCCCTGGACCTGCAAAGGGGGCTTACGCAGCCCCCTTGACCCCCGGCGTATTTTCCGCTGATTTTGCAATTTGCTGTTGGCAGCCCTGAGCAAGGTTGTTTTAAATGATTTATAGGTAAAGTTCGAATATGGGTCATCAGGAGTGAAAAAATAGGCAACAGCCCATATATTGAAAAACTTTGTTTACATTTGCACTATTTAGGTGCAGATATGAACATTATAATATCAGTTTAAGATCTGCTTTTCTATAAGCTAATAGACACACTTTTTAATCCGTCCTGGAACCAACCAGTACTGAGCAGTGAGTGTAGTTCCTTGCTCAAGGAAACAGCGACTGACCCCTGACCGGGTTTAAACCCATGCTGCTAGGAGTCCTACAGTTCTGGTGTTTGTGAACATCATCTTGGATTTTAGTAAATGGGTCTTTATAATACACAACAAGACAAATAATATTACATTATTATAACCTTTATTGTATCATTGCAATGACCTCTTTAATGAAATAACTGAAAAAATGAACATGGAATTCGTCAGAAAAATGCACAAAATAAAATGAATCTTGTATCAACATATCTCTAACATACAAACATACCAGAAAAATGTAAGTTTCATTTTGTATCGTGTTTCAAAAATGAAGCAAGAAAGCCCATTCTTGTTTTTCTTTTTCAAATAATCAATTGTTTTTAATTGATGAATGATAACTGTTGGAATACTATATCTCTAGATTTATACTGAAAATTCTTATAAATTACCCAATAACTGCTCTTACAAGTAATGTCCAACACATTTCTATAACACATGTAATATAGGTCCTCTAAAGCTCAAAGTTAAGAACCTTTCAAAATCCCCATCAATAAAATTCTAAATTAAAGCACAAATAGGCTGCATTGAACTAGCATTCAATTAAGCCCAAACAGGTAAATTTACTGTATGAGGGAAGGTAATTCACTTCACTTTAAAACATTATCACATAATAAGTAATTGAGTACAGGTGAACCTTTTCTTTAAAATATAACCATTTTATTGCTAAATGACAGTAAATCAGTATCTTTTCAAACTGACAACATCTTAAACACCTGTGTTTTAATTCATCAACACAATTAACAGCACATTTATTAATTTAATGTGATTTATTCAAATAACAAAGAAATTATCTAAAATTTACAAAAATGACTTGCAAAAATCATGAGTATGACACATAACCCTTGCTTTGCTAAAAAACACAATTGTCGAGCCTTCAATGCCAGTAACAATTTAAATTGTTTGTACGCTAGCGGCACGGGAAAGTTTTATTATGTGTAGCATTCACAGGGTGTTAAGAAATATCTGCGACGGTGTCGGGTTTAATGTATACCACATAATGATAAATTTGATTTAACATTTACCCGAAACCTGCTAAATTTCTTAAATGGACTTATCCAGCTTCTATTTTTAGAACTGTTCATTGTCATTTTTTGGGGGGATATCAAGATGAAAATTTGAAGTCATTCAGCCAACAGTATAGAGCCTGGTCAGACAGCATCAGTGATAAAAACTTCACTTACTGTTTTGAACAGCAGGTTAAGGGTTTAATAATATCTGAAAATGTTACTGTTACTCAGTAATCAATATGTTAAGGTGAAGAAAAATGTATTACAAAAATTAATGCCCTTAATGAACAAAAATAGAATGAAATGATATTTCAAAACTTACACTCACATCATGTTTTGTATATATACATATTTATCACAGTTTTTTGACTGTACATGAAAGGGGGGAAAAATGTCTTTGAGTGACGATATAAAAAATGTTGTCATTGAAAGTAATATACATTTGATTAGCTCGGGCTAGAAACAAAATGAGGCATGAATTAGTAAAAGTAAACAGCATTGAACATACTCCGGATGTGAACAGATTATTTCAGTAAACATTTCAAGACATATGAGCTGTGTCACGACAAAACCAACATAGCTGGTTTGTGACCAGCATGTATCCAGATCCGATGTCTGATCATGATCCATGCTGTTCACTATCAATTTCTCTACTTGTAATAGGGTTGGTAAGCGAACAGCATGGATCCTGATGAGACTGCGCGGATGCGCAGGCTGGTCTGGATCCATGCTGGTCGCAAACCCACTATGTTGGTTTTGTCATGACGCGGCTCATATGTAATGGTGGATAGAAGGAGTATCAAAAGGATGAAAAAAAAGGGTCTATAATCCCTTATTAGAACAAATTGTAGGAATACCAGAAGACAGATGCGCGGTAGAGAAAAAAACATTCTAAATCACTCAATGACTTAACATATTTAGGAAGTAAATGCATTTTATCAATATAAATGTATGTACAACTGTGTCTTACAATACACATGACAACAAAAAAATCAAGCAAAAACAAACAACAAATTATTCATCATAAAGAGTAAGCACTATTACATGTATATAAAGCCCTGTACAATATAAGCACTATTAAAAAAACATGAATATCGCCCATTAAAGGGACTTCACTGAGGTTTTTTAACATGATGGGAGGAAAATACACATGTATTTAATCCGAGATCTGTGTACCTGTTTATTTAGGTCATGCATATTTTCAGATCATGCCCTCGCCCTGTTTTTTTTTCAGAATAATCTTTTTTATTGTGAAAAATGGCCAATTAGCATTGCAACGCTTTTCATTAAAATCCGGCTAATAAAGGAATTAACTTAATTCGAGTATAGTTCTTTGTTATCCATCAAAGATTTTTCCATTTTAAGTGCTTCACTTCAGATTTGTAAGATTTTCAACTTTTTTCAAAATACTTTTATGCCTTTGGAACCTCAGCGGAGTTCCTTTAATACAACATGTAACTTCAAGGATCTTAAAGTAAAAAGACTTGATCTTATCAATGTTCATTAACATCCAAATACACAAAATATTTACAAATATACCTTGCAAAAATAAAATATGTAGAAATACTAGCACTTCAATGTGTTCAAATTGTTATGTCATACTTCAACTTTTTTAAAAAGTTTTATCCAAATTGTTTTGTCAAGTGGCTCTTTAAATAAAACCAGGTGAGGTTGTTTACAAGGTGAAATTCTAATAAATTCATTCTTTTATAGAGACAATTCTTACCTTTTAATTAAAATATTTAAGGTTCAACTCTTTTAAATCTATATGTCCCAAGATAAGTGAATGAGAAACAATATTTTGTAAGTATTATCATCAACAGCATTTTAGGATACTGTGCCATTTGTATTTGACTGCATTTCCATTTTTCCTACTTTAAAACACAGTAATTTCTAAATTATTAAGTGACTTATATGAATACCAAATAACTCGCACTTGCAAAAACCACAATATTTATACTTTAGCTAAAAATGATATGTTTTAATTGTTTAAACGACATACATTTAAAACATGAATCTGGAAGCATGTTCTAACTGCATTTTTTCAATCAAATCTACATAAAAATAACCGACAATAGAATTAATGTCAAGACAGGTAAGTCTCCTTTGACAGGAATAGCGTAAAAGAAGTGTTAACTTTATTAAGTATAAAAAATGCCCGTAACTATATTCATACTAAATTCTTACCCTATAAAAAACATTTTTCAAGATTTTCCATCATATATACAAGAAATAACAGAGCATATAAATGATAATCCATTCACAGTACACTTATATTCAACAAATCGTTCTGTCAGTAACTACATATGCATGTAAAAAGCCACAGAGTAAATAAGTAACAAATGTTCAACTACAAAAATTCAATGCAGGAAATAACCGTGATAATATCTTAACACATCCACTCATACTAACACAGAACACGTACATTTTCTCAACAACATCACACCAAAACATCGGTCCCAAAGTTTCCGATAACAAAGCATAATTATGAACAAGATATTTCACAAATTAATCCAACGTGAAAATTCTATTACTTCGATGACGCTCGGTACAAATATTTTGTAACAACAAAGACTCCAACGATAAGAAACACAATTATACGAATCACCACAGATGTTTAACTTTTGACTAACTTCGCGCGTTTAATCATGACTAACATCACTGTCAAAATCTCCGTCACTGTCTTCCATACTACTTCCGTCAAAATCCGATTCATCATCGACGACTTTGCGCTCAGCCTGTAGTCTTTTGTTCATCACATTGTTCACACTAGAAGAAGTTTTTACAGATCTAGGTCCAGCATTAAAGTCTGCCACTAATGGATATATATATTCTATTGCTGACTGTACATTTGCTACCCGTGGGGCTGAAATAGTAAAACGAATGTTGAAGAAAATGCAACCCAGAAATTTCAGTCACTTTACTCTGTTAATATTTTATAATAGACTTCTTTAAATTCAAAACTGGTCAATTATTACTTAAAGTGATTCTGATGACAAACAGTTGGGTTGTGGAGCTCCAAATGCCTCAAAATCCAAATGGATTGTATATTTGTTAATCCCATACACAAATATCCGAGCTTGGAGCATTGTAGTTTCACACAATAAGACTTAAATGTGTTTTTCTATATAGGTCTGTAATTGACATTACGCCGCCTGTCAATCAAACAGGCAGGGGTCACAGAGATAAGCCAATCAGCGATCGTTATCAGTTCCACACTAAGATACCTGCGAAGTCCGCCATTTTCCTTAGACAAGCTACTTGTCTAGGACAATTGTGCAGAAGTAATTTAGATTGAAATTAGTTTAATCTTTTGTCAATTTAAAGCTTTTTTTATCTATATATTCATTAAAATTAAGTTACCAAATAAACTGACATAATTGACAGATCGCAAAAGTTAGTTTATTATAAAAAATGTCAATAATTTTCTACATATGAAATAATAAGTACGAAATATTTATCCTGGCTATAACACAATGCATTGAAAAATGAAAATGTTTAAACAAACCCTTTTATTTCCATTCTAATAATAATTCATAATCACATTACATATTATAAGGTCCAAAAATATCCAGAAGAATTTCGTTTACAAGGTATAGCGTCAATAAAAACGCAGACATAAAAAATCCAAATATAATGAGTAAATACAATAAAAATTTGGGTGAAATTTTCTAACCTGAATATTTCTATTAAAGTTCAATAAATTAACATTAGATATTCAAATAGATCTGTATAATACGAAACTAATACCAATAAATCATGTCTGATCAGATAACAAGTATGTGAAGCTTACTTTAAAGAGAATAACGTTGTGTTTTGTCGTGAATTATATCAAATATATGTTAACAATACATAATCACATATCTGACATAAAAAGTAAGCAAGAGCATGCAATTTTCTGAATCAATTTTAAAACAAATTAATGTATAATCTAAACTGAATTTCACACATAAAACCCGAAAATGATTTCAAATTTATTTTTGTCACTAATATAACTTTACTGTTTATGTTTCGCTACTTCAATTTCAAAATAAAACGATCATAACATAAACATATACTTTTCTACATATTTGAATTCTTTGAATTTGTAAGATATAATGATATTTTGTCAGTTTTAGATTTTCATTGAAGTCAACAAGAAATAACTCGATCTTTGCGTTTAATACCTGAGTGCGGATATTTTTTTCTTTCTATTATTGTTTATGTTTAAACGAAATCTTGCATTATTCTATCCTGTCATATATGTTTGTGTAAATATCATTTGTTATCTAGGGAGAGTAACTTTATAAGTTTTCTTTCATTCTAATCCCTTTCAATTATAAACATATACATGTAAAATGTAATACAGTCTAACTTGCCCATGCGACCACGTGTATTAAGCGACTTTTGTCTTAAACGACCACTTTAAATTCCCCCCGATGATTTTCTCTCTATATCTTTAATGTATTAAGCGACTTTTGCTCAACGCGCACAGCGACCGCTAATTAATCACCTAATTGACATCAATCTTTTCATTAAACGACCACTTTTACCTGTCAAGTAATTGTGTTTTTAGAGAACGCCACCTCGTTATGTCACAAGTGTCAGCAATCAAAACACAACAATAAACGTGTGAAAAACTCTATTTCCCATACCGTTTTAGCGTATGCAAATGAAGTTAAGTATATGCGTGACGTGTATTATCCAATAATATCGGATAAACAATGCAACGCTCCGCCCATACTGAGATGGTGTAAACGCTTCGCTTGTTGACATTTAGACTGCATTGAATTGACCTTGAACTTGATTTTTGTTTTAATTTTGAAATAAAGTTGGTAAAAACACGTATACATTGGATGCAACGGGCACCTGCTAAATCTCTATCACGTTCGCGCGACAAACTTGTCGATATAGGTCAATCCGAAAATTAAGAAAATTTGCAAATTATCACAAAACCGGATTGACCTCCTTATTTTGTAAACAGAGAATTTTCGGCCAATGAGAACAAAGGAGGCAATCCTCTCTAAACCAATCAAAATTAACTTTATAAAGCGGGTGTTCGGTAGAACTTACAAAAATTACAAAATTTAAAACAAACTCTGCTAATTACAAACATGTAATTAATTATATGCATCCCAATGTATACGGTTTATAACATTTAAATAGAAACCAACAGTCAGCCCACAATGAATTGGTCAGAAAACGTTCCTGACATGCCTTCTTCGCAAGTCTGCGAACTCTACAATATAGGTAATATTTTAAAATTTTTTAGTTATACTAAATATTAGATAGACCTGCTATAAAAGACGGTAACTGCTATAAACGTCTTGGCCAATTTTAAAATAAGTGCTTTTTAATAAATTAAATTTTTAGAATTCTTAATCTTAGTATGGGATTGCCCCATCTTCCTCCCATGGCAGAGGTTGTACGTAGAGACTACCCTGTCATGGGGGATATGGTATGCACATAAACACATGTACGGATATAACAATAAGTAATTAAACATCAGCTCCCCCTTTTTAAAAGGTTATAAATGAAGTATATGCTCGCCCATATGGTCTCTTTCCGGTGGCGAGGGTAAACAAACCCAAACACACACACACACACTTGAACTTGATTAGCCATTAAATTAATCGTAACAAATAGATGTAGTTTGTTTATTTCAAATGAAAAAATGCACAACAGAAAACATCTTCACTATAGGGTTTTCGTGTTGGAGACAAGGAAAAACAACGGAGAAGTTAAAAAATTCTGGAAAAAATGTCAAACATGTACGTAATGGATCAAAACTGTTTTGTCAATAAATATCAGAACGTTATTTTTACATTTGCATCCGTTTAGATTATCGGAGCGTACTTATTATTCAACATTTATATAAAAATGAAGTTGAAAAACAATCCCATCGAATAAAAAAGATGTCGTTTATAAATTTTGACTTTTATATCATGCTGACTGTCTTAAGAGACCGTTTCATTAAGCGACCGTTTTTGGTGTTTCCCTTGCCCAGTCGTTTAATACACGTTTGACTGTATACGTGAAATATTGAAATGAATATGTTTAAACTAATGCAGATATTATTTTTTTACTTTTTTAAAATACCATAATACATTTATACAGTGAATAATATATCTACTATTCAATAAAACGATTAAGAACATCAAAATTTTATATTGATAAATAATATAAGGTAAATTTATTGGTAACATTAGTGGCATAACCGTATTTTGTCTAAGGTTCTTACTGACAAGGTCACGTGAATCAGTGGGTGGAGCGATCCCTTCTCTGGCGTAATGTCAATTTCAAAGTGACCCCTTGTGCAGCACCAATATTTATGATTAATATCAGTTTTATTTAGGTACACAAGGCATTGCTACATGACAAATATTGCCACTCTAGGTATTGTAGCTTCAAACAATAAAAATACTTAAATGTACTTTTCCTATGTAACGTCTTACTTATAAATCAATTGACCCCTGAGGCAAGCCAATCTTGATCTCAGGAAGCCAAAACCTGAATTATGCACGTCATCTTATTATAAGTAATATTTCTGCCAAAATAATTTTAATTTCTTTCCATCTGTTCAAAAGATACAGAGCAGACAAGGAATTTTATAATTTATGCATGACTTGACCCTGACCTGTCTGCACATTGTCTCATTATGGTAAACATTTCTGCCCAGTAGTTTCATTTTCTCTCATTGGTTCTAAAGATAAATAGCTGACAGTTTCATTTTCTCTCATTGGTTCTAAAGATAAATAGCTGACAGACGTGAAACCAAAATAAGAGGGGCCAATTCTTTTACTATTTTCTTTTGTTTAATAAAGGGCAAATGGCCCTTTATTCTTTTTTTCTAGAAAATAACTCTGTTGTTATCTTTAGTTCTGTTTATAGTCAAATGGCCCCTATTTACAACTTCAGTAATACGGACAGACAACCAGTGTCTAACAATATACATGTATATTCGGGAAAAAAAATTAGCATATAAAAAGAACAAAATGTTGCTAAAATAAAACAATCATAGATATAATGATAACCAGTAATATACTGAAACTGGACAACAATACTACCTGTGACAGTTATACTGCCGGTGGAGAATATTTTCAGTGTAGCCTTGGGACTTTTTATTCTGTAAGTAACACCTGGATGCAGCTCAGGTTCATAACTAAAAAGTAAAGTTAATAACAGTCTGTTCACACAATTCAGTTGATTTTGATTCTATAAATAACATAATATAAAAATCAACTTTTATATTTGAATTTAATTAAGTTAATCAAACATTTAAAATTAAAAGAAGACTTAAAGAAACTCCACAGAAGTGAAAAATCCTAAATATAAAATTTAAAATTCTTAAATATATCAAGTAAAGCATCTTAAATGAAAGAATCTGCTAAATTACTACTAGATTTCTATGATGAGTGATGATCTTTTGTGTTACGCAGATTGCGCCTGCGCGGGATTACTACATCTGATCAATTTTTTCATAGCAACCGTCCACGTCACCAAAAGGTCTATATCATCTTCTTTCAAATTTTAAATGCTTTAATACCCACTTCCTTAATAAGGAGCAGGAGTTTACAAAAATTTTCTGTTTTTGGATCACAATAAACTTATTATGAATTTCAAAACAATTTTTTCCAAATCAATTAATATATGTATGACTATCAACCTCCTACCTGGCTTCCTTGTGTTCCATGGAAAATTTAGTAATATCAAGGGCAAATGGCAGTGAACATGTTCCAAGGACGTTCACTATACGGAAATTGGTGAACTTTACTTTATATCCCATTTTCTGTATTTTTCTTGCAAACTTCCTTGCAGCTATTTTGGAAAACTCTTCACTGAAGATAAAGGAAAAAATATTAAAATTTTGAGTAAAACCATTGTAAAATGCTATGTCATTTCATTGCCTGTATACATACAATTCATTTAAACAACATTCATGGACCAGTAGTTAACAAGCATAAACAGGAAAATGTGAAAAATAGGAAAATGTTAAATGCTGTAAGTAAATCAATTCAATTAACTGTTGAAGAAATGGTTTCAGATGAAAATTTGTCTACCTGTCCTAACAATAACACGAAGAAAATCCAACTAATTTCTTTTCTTTACAAAACATGTTTAAAGACTAGTTGTCTTTCTTTTAAATCATAAGTATAGCTGCTGCTAAGCAGTATAGCAATACCTGTGATGTTGTTTTTTCTGTAATATTTACAGCATTGTTTAATATCAAACATAAAATATTATCACATGAGTTATAGTGGAAAAGGAAACTGTGACGCAAGTTTGGCATTATATGGCATCAGTGATTTTTTTTCCCTATATATTAAGTGGTACCGAATAACGGACCCATTCACAATCACAAACGGACCTTCACAATTTTCAGACTGGGTCCGACGGAGCCGTTCACAATTTCTGATGAAATTTCACAATTCTGATTAATTAAGCCTTTAATAACATATTATTTCCTCTCTTCTCATAATGATGCTAAAATTTTGCCTGTTGTGCTTTGTTTATCTTAAAATGCGTTTAGCCAACCATGATTTTCAGTGCATTCGCCCTTTAAATTTTCGTACTGTTTAAATACGAAACTTCTAGGGACGAATCAATACTGAAACAAGCGTCTGGTAATTTCTGTAAACATCATTCAAAATGTCTCGTAACAGTAACTATTACATTAAAAAAATTATATGTTTTTCTGCTTAATAATGTTAACAATCTAAATTAAAAAATTCACAATTTGTTAAGAATCAACGCTTTTTTTCACAATTTTTATGGTACCGGACCCATTCACAATTCAGGGGAAAAAATCGCTGGGCATTCCTATACAAACTTTACTTAGGCATGCATAAGTTCCCTTTTCTTACTTCACTGTATATACAATGTAATTTAACATACAATAACATAATACAGTATCATTCAGAACTTGAAAATCTATACATTGTTGATGAGTTATTTGTTTCATTCTTGAAAACTACAACAATTAACATAACTTGGTCATTTTCCCTAAAAATCATCAGTTCCCTCAGAATCTCAGTAAAACGCAGCTTGCCTTAAATGACACTTAATATGACTTCAAATATGTTTACCTCAGGGCCCCTGTGCATGTGATCTTACCAGAAGACCACACACTGGCTGTAGTGTAAGGATTTCTTAATCTCATATTTAACATCTGAAAAGGAATTAAAAAAGTCCAATGATAGTGTTTTAGTAATCACATTCACAAATACACTGGATAACAAACTAAAAGAAGTCAAAATAAAATCTTGCTTAAATAAGTGTCAGTAGACATAAAATTTATAAATGTTACTAATGTACATTTTAATATATAGTTCTTAGACTACTAGTTTTTAAGTACATAATTAATTAAGCAAATAACTATCAGAACTTGACTCATTTGCACATTTTTTTAGCTTGAGGGATTACAGGTTCTTGACCAAAAGTTCAGATATAATACAATAGTATAAATACCCCATGTTGTCTGTGATATTCTACATTTGTACCCTCCATGGCAATTCTTTTCAAATTCAGATGACACTTGGTATTAAAGCTGCATACAACATTGTTTATATTAATATCTAACATTGGAACGTCCTCTTCCTCTGGTTGAGGGTTAGGATCATAACCTTCAGGGGCAATAACTCCACCATTTGTACCAGGAAGCTGGCTTACTCCACCAGCTATGACTTGACCGTCCGCCATAATGCCTGAGATAATGTCCTTGTAGTATACAATTTAACACAGCCAATTGTCTATGGTCATGTTCTCCTGCAAAAAAGGTATCTTATTTGGCTATTTAAATACTATGCTATATTGTTATATCCCCATTTGCAAACTCTCAAAAATTTCAGCCAGCCATATTGGCAAGACATGAAAGGCAACCCCTTCTTATTCTGTGTAGAATTCTGCCAGATTACATCCCCTTGCATATAAATATATGGGAAGAATGGATTTTTTTGTCTTTGTTGACATATCGTATAAGTACCTAATCTTACACCCAACCTATTCTCAAACCTTTCATTCATGTCCTGTTATTTTTTTTATTAGAAGTGACTATGATGTCCTGAACTGGTGTGCATAAAAGCTTAGTTTCTGACAGACATGTCTGCTGATGTCAAATGAAAACAGTGCATAGGAACAAGTATTTACATAACATATTTTATTACTTAGCGTAATTTCATACAAATTGCCATTACCTTTGTAAGTCCCATAAATACACCATTAACTATTTGTGAAAATGACTATTATAGACAAAAATATCTTAAAGCAGGTAACTGCATTGTGTAGGGTACTTCATTGTCATGTGATAGTCATATAACAATCACTTCGTTGGCTAAACTAAACAGTAGAATTTTAGAGATACTTGAAGGGGTTTGAGATTAGGTTCTTTATTTTAAGAGGCCATGTCAGTTTTAAAACAGAGGGTTGTGCTTTTCCAAGATGGAAATAGAGCTTTTTTAATAGTTGAATTTCAGTCAAATTTTACAGAAATGTTACATAAAGATTAAAGTGTTCATATATAAAGAATTTTTATAAAGATATATTTTTATTTACATTAAAAGACCCCTTGAATGTTTAGAGGTTTGAGAACTGGTTAGTCCACGATACATTTTTTTTCCCTAAAAACACAGACAATTGCACTTACAAACTTGCTTGCATGATTTCAGTCGGCCATATTCCCTAGCCATGAATGATAACTCCCTGTTTCCCTGTCTAAAATTCCACCAAATTATTCCCCTTTCAAATGAACTCAAAGAAGGGACCTTTTAAAAAGACTTTGTATTTATTTATTCGATTTTTTGTTCAGAAATGGACAATTTTTTCTTTACCTTTGTATAATTTGCTTTCTATCTATATATGGTTCTTATGGTAAACATATGAGTTTTGATGGTAAACAAATGAATTTTCTGAACCGAAAGTAATCTAACACACATGTGACACAGCGTTGCTGTCATCACATGTAAACAATACATTAAATCGGTAAGAGTATTGAGATATTTGTTTGACTATCAGTTTCAAATGCAAAATATTAATATGGAAAACAACTATGTGTAGTTTATGTGTATTGTTTTAATGTGTTTGTCTGATATTTTAGTTGTAAAAGCCATGTACACTTAGTGTCGCTTCATAGCAACAGTTTAAAACGTGGGCGGTAACTGAACGAGATATGGCAAAGCGCATGCTCGCGCACTGACTTCCGCTCAATCGAAATACTGCATAATACATATAGCGAAAGTTCGTAAGTGAATTGTCTTATAAAGTTTATGTAATTTCATTGCTACTTATAATGAGTTATATATATGGTTATTATGGTGAACATATAAATTTTCACAGTTAACAAGCTAGTTTTTTAAGCTGGAAGTAAATATTTGTATATCTAACTCCAAGCAGAATTCACAACTCTGCCTGCTATTATGACAGACTTGACAGTCTATGAGTTTTCAATGTTGTCATTGACCTTTTCTGGGATCATACAAATCTCCATCAAATTATTAAAATTCAAAATGTTCTTTAAAGCACTCTGAGAGATTGCATTAATTTTTTTGTTTAAATTATCGCGAAAATATGTGACTAATCTATACTTTTCCTAATTTAAAATGCACATAATTATCTAATCGTAAACACCTAAGTTTATTCAAAAGCCATAAATTTGTTCAGTTTAGCGTCATGAAAATTTCAGCACTTATTACCATTCAAGCTCCTTAAACTCGAATTAGTCTTCTTACAAACGCACGAAGTGATCGCAGACAGCCATTTTTGATTGGCAGCGCCACCTTCCGTTGACTGGTCCCCTGCGATTTGCACATTTATTTGGTCAGACTTATCTATTGATTTCTGTCCCCATTAAATTATATATACTAAATTATGAGAAATGGTCGTGTGGGAAACTAAAGATATGATTTTTCTATAAGAGTGATATGCCTAACATATCAGAAACATCAAACGATATTGATGTGATGAACCACGCTTTTCGAAAGTACTCGCCGCTGATCACAGTACAGTACAGACATACAGATCTATTTTAAATAAGAATTTATAAAGTATGGATCTTGTGAAAATTCTCCAAAACATCTATTAAGTTTAAGATATTTTTCAGAAAACTATAAATTGTTGATTTCTGATGATTTTTTTTTTGTTCTATAATTGCCCCGAGTTATTTAACACGAGGGACTTAATTAGGGCCGATTAGCAGTTTCGAAAGTTTTCTGCATACATTATTTTTTTTGTTTAACAGTTACTGTGTGTAACTGTTTATAGCAGTTACGCTAAGATTTAATATCAGAATAAAGCTGTCCGGAGACTAAAAACACCCACTTTTTCTTTCAGCGATGACGTCAAATATGACGTCACATCTGATGGTGTGTTTTTCACGTGCTAATGTTCAATCAATCGGAACATTTCGGCTATTATTCAATGATAACCTCGAACTTAA